AGACAGGGTTTCTCTGTGTAGTTTTCTGCCTTTCCTGGAACTCACTTGGTAGACCAGGCTGGCCTCGAACTCACAGAGATCTGCCTGCCTCTGCCTCCTGAGTACTGGGATTAAAGGCATGCACCACCACTGCCGCCACCGCCGCCGCCAGGCTAGACCCTAAACTCTTAATCACTTTGCATTTCTATTTGATATATTGACTTCTATTGTTGTTATTATTGACAGGGTCTCACAATGTAATCTGGGCTGGCCTTGTACTACTTTTTTTATTAAGAGATTTTCTGTTTATATTACACACCAACCACAGATTCCCCTTTCCTCATTCGCTCAGCCCTCAGTGTTTCCACTCTATACACCCCCTATTGCCACCCCTTCCAAGGAAAGGTCTCCCATGGGGAGTCAGCAGAGCCTGGTCCATTCAGTTGAGTGGCCTCCTGCTTCGTGTTCTCTCTCTTTTGAGACAGGGTCTCACTATGTAGCTCAGGCTAACCTGAAACTGGCTACTAAGACCAGGGTGGTTAAGAACTCATAGAGATCCAACTGCCTCTGCCTGTGGTGTGCTGGGGTTAAAGGCATGCAGCACTGTGCTCACCTTGCTTGTTGTTGTATCATGAGATTAACATGCATCCATCACCAAGCTGGCTGTATTTGTTTCCTGACCAGTGTTTTTCTCCTTGTGACTTTGACCCATTCTGTACTCTGTTGATGAAGAAACTGCCTCCACCCCTAACACTGTGGAGTAAGAAGGCAATAGAAGTCACTCACGTATTATGTCCAGCTGGATGGGGTCACTCCTCTTGGAACTGACTTGATTGGATACTTCACACTGATAGTCCCCAGAATGCTCAATCCTGGCAGAGACTATTTCCAGGGTGCTGTTGTTCGGGGACAGCCTCATGCTATTCGTGATTCTCAGACTCTGGCCTTTGAAGAGCCAATGGATTGAGATTCCAGTGTCATTTGTCAAGCACTTCAGGATCACAGTGGTCAGGTCTTTGACTGTGGTATTGGTGAGTTGGATGGAGGGTTTAGTCAATGGTTCTGTGAATAAACAGTGGAGAGGATCAGCTGTGAGTCCTTCACCCTCAGAGATCTCAGCCAGCTCCCAGGGCCCATAGAATGAAGGGGCCCTCTGCAAGATCACATGTTCAAGATATGGTCTGTAAGGAAAGAACTGAATCTTCCTCGTACCAAGATCACCCCCAATGACCCTGACTCAGGTTATTTGTGTAGATTCCACACTGGGAGCCTCTTCAGCACACATGTCCAGAAATCTCATAAGGAGGGATGTATTTCCCAATGATATTTGTGGTAATTCTTGCTCACATTTTCTGTGAGTGTGAACAGTTAGGTCGTGCCTTTATGAAATAACCTTTTAATTTTTATTAAAAAAAATTGTCATAGGGTTAACATGGCCTAGCTAATCTTAAAGGTGTTAAAAGCTAGACCTCAGGATTGGTAAAAATCCATATTTGAAGAATTTCTGTCTGTAGAAAAATTGTATTTCCTGCTCCATGGATATGGATTAAATACTACAGAGAAGAAGTGAATAATCACAGTGATTACCATAGCCTGACACTCTAATCCTCAGTACTGATATTTTTGAGAAAGGGTCTCACTGTATAATCCTAGCTCACTTGCAACTTGCTATGTAGACCAGGCTGGCCTCAAACTCACACTCTCTACCTGCTTCTCCTTCCTCAGTGCTGGCATCAAAGATATGTGCCACCACACTCAGCTGATATTTGTTTTTTGAACCTTGAGAAGAGGAAGCAAAAGAGCATCATCAACTGTCAGTGACATAGTTCACCCTGACTCAGAACAGGGATTCCACCCACCTTCTCCACCCACTCTTCCCATCCCATGGAGTCAGAGCTGAGCCAGGCACCACACCCATGAGACAGGAGCAGAACTCTGAGCAGAGAATATTGCCCATGTATGGGGAATATTCTCCTCCAATTTGGAGAATAAGAATGTGAGCACAGTTGAAATGCCTGGGTGTTCCTTAGAGGTTATGGAGGTCATAAAATGAAAATGGAGAGGACAGGAAAGCTTGTGTTAGGCACAGAAAGAAATCTTGATCTGAAGGCTCTCCTAACCATGAAAAGTCCCTCACACAAGCAAAGCTTTCCAAGACTGGGAGAACCTCCTCCTCACATTGCAGGCTCCATCCCTCTCAGCCAGAAACCAGAGAACCAGGAGGTCAATAGACATAGGGATGGAGCAGGTGGCATGGAGGAAGACTGAGTTTTGCTTGTTCCCATAGGCATGGGCTGGAAATTAAATGCTTCTGCATCTTCCCAGAAAGCCAAAAGATTCCACTCCAAACCTGGTGCTGATATATCTGAGACCCACTTACTAAAGACTCTAAAGTTCTTGACCCTGACAATAATTGGAACATCTACAAATAGGTGATTTTAAACAAAGAAGCCCAAACTACACAATGGAAAAAAGAAAGCACCTTCAACAAATGGTGCTGGCATAACTGGATGTCAACTTGTAGAAGGCTGCAAATAGATCCATATCTGTCACCATGCACAAAACTTAAGTCCAAGTGGATAAAAGACCTCAAAATAAATTCAGTTACTCTATACCTGATAGAAGAGAAAGTAGGAAGTAGTCTTGAATGCATTGGCATAGGAGATCACTTCCTAAATATAACACCAGTAGTAGCACAGACACTGAGAGCAACAATTAATAAATGGGACCTCTTGAAACTGAGAAGCATTTGTAGGGCAAAAGACACAGTCAATAAGACAAAATGACAGCCTACAGAATGGGAAAAGATCTTCACCAACCCCACATCTGACAGAGGGCTGATATCAAGAATATATAAAGAACTCAAGAAAATAGACATCAAAATACCCAACAGTCCAATTAAAAATGGACTACAGAGCTAAACAGAGATTTATCAACAGAATCAAATGGCTGAGAGACATTTAAGGAATTGCTCAACATCCTTACACACCAGGGAAATGCAAATAAAAACAACTCTGAGATACCATCTTACACCTGTCAGAATGGTTAAGATCAACAACACTGAAGACAGCTTATGTTGGAGAAAATGTGGAGCAAGGGGAACACCCCTACACTGTTGGTGGGAATGCAAATTTATACAGCCACTTTGGAAATTAGTATGATGCTTTCTCAGAAAATTGGGAATTGATCTCCCTTTGACCCAGCTATACCACTCTTGAGCATATACCCAAGGAATGCTCAATCACACCACACAAGGACATATGCTCAACTATGTTCATAGCAGTCTTATTTGTAATAGCCAGAACATGGAAACAACCTAGATGCCCTTCAGCTGAAGAATGGATAAAGAAAATGTGGTCATTCAGGCCCAGCGGCGGCCCACAGAGGTAGACAGGCCCGGCGGCAGCGGAGACAAGCAGATGCAGGTAGGCCCACGGAGGCGGCCCGCAGAGGTAGATGGCCCGGCGGCGGTGGACGACAGGGACATTCAGGCCCGGCGGCGGCGGCGGTCTACAGAGTTAGACAGGCCACAAGGCGGAGACAAACAGATGCAGGTAGGTCCGCAGCGGCGGCCCGCAGAGGTAGACAGGCCCAGCGGCAGGCTGCAGAGACATACAGGCCCGGTGGTGGACCGCAGAGGTAGACGGCCCGGCAGCAGTGACAAGCAGAGGTAGGTAGGCCCGAAGTAGGTAGGCCCGCGGTGGCAGCCGGCAGAGACATACAGGCCCAGTGGCAGCTGGCAGAGACATACAGGCCCGGTAGTGGACCACAGAGGTAGACAGGCCCAGGAACGGAGACAAGCAGATACAGCTTGGAACAGGGACGCTTCTAAACCCAACACCTGGAGAAGAAGCTATCTCCGTGGGACGGAACCAGAACGAATCTGAACACTCCCGTCTGATGACAACCCAGGGCCCAGCTGCTGATTCCGTGAAGCCCAACAACTTGGAGGTGTTGGTGAAACTACCCTGCTCAGCTGAAACCCATCTGGGAGAGGATTCAGATGCCTACAGTTTGAAGTCTGAAGAAACAAGATCAGCTGAGGAGTTGACAAATGAACAAAACGTGACCTGGGAACACAGAAGAAGGCACTACCCAGCCACCAAACCAGATCACAAGAATCATAAGTATATACTTCACCGACTGAAATCAGCTGCCCCTGAAGAAATAGCTCAATAGCACCAATTTAACCAAGAACCCCTACTAAACCAAGACAAAAATTAGAACAAGAGAGGCACTCTCAGACACAGACACCACCTGCACC